AAACTATATACCCCCGAATCTTTGATACGGGGGCATAAAAAATCCAATGTGTAAATGCGGTGCTTCATTGTCGTTTTAAAATCCAAGTTGTATGTGTAGCGATGATAGCTCAGTAGTATTTGTTACCCGTCCAGTGCAATGGACTTAGAAAATTTTTTGGTTCGATCCTCGCATGGAGCGTTAATAATTTTTTTTTTTTTTGCAAAAAATCAATTCATTTGTCAGTTTAATTTTTTTGTACTGATTTATTTAAATATGGAATCTGGTTCAGTTGCATCTGGAGCGAAAGCAATTCTTCCAAACTACTGATACTTTAATATACATCTGTATTTGCACTTGCATTTAACTATACGTTTATTATCTTGTAGATGTTTATTATTTATGTGAAGCACTACTATGTTTTAGTTTGATTATCAAGATAAGCGGACCTAAATATTATAATTTGACATGTTATTTCAAGCATGTAACATTTTCCTATGTGCGTTACTTTGTAATGCCTTACCAGCTGTGGTCAGCCGACCAAATCGCGGACATTTAAACTATAAATGTTTCGTACACATGATTCCTGCAGATATACGCCCATCTTCTTTATATCATATGTAACTTACATTGACTTCAGTGTGCATGCCATGTTACAACGCACTTTGAAAAAATACGCACTTTGAAATTTTTTTTTAAAGTGCGTTAAATTTGGGACCAAAATAACGCACTTTGAAAAAAAATTCTTTTCAAAGTGCGTTAATATCTACCATATTAACACACTTTGAAAAAAAAATTGCACGGCTTGGTCAGTACTCTTGCAGATTTTAGGTATGATAGATAATTATTTGAACCTGGTTAATTGCTGCAACATTGAAGTCATATACGTTTGTGTATATTACAGGTAGACTGAACGGCTACCTCTCTGTCTATCATACATTGTTGAACTTAGTTTTTGTCATATGATTTTGGACTTTATACACTATCATGATCCACCATGGGTTCCAACTGGCTAACAAATTTTCTGTTCTATATTTTTCAAAGTACTTTTGAAAATAAAAGTTAGAAATTTTAAAAAATCCTCAACCTTTTTAAAATTATATATTTGATCCGTTAAAGCGTATCCACATGTATATATGGAACGTGTTTGATCAGATGAAATATAGGTAACAATTATATTGTGTCACAAAAAATCTTATATTTCTAGCTTGTGTGTTGAGAATAAGCCTAAGACATTCGTAATTAGTAACTTTTATAAACATATAAATAAGAGTTGTTTCTTTTCCCTTAAGTCTGATGAAAGGGGCCACAGAAAAATGTGCCCTTCCATGTAGTGCATAGAGCGCAATCTAGACAGTGAATAAATGTATTGTTTTTATACATGTAATTACAGTTTTACTGTAGTGAGGTGAAGTGTGGACGCTATCATGAACCATCGTGATCAGTGCCTTACTTAATCAAGGACACTGGACAACAATTTGTCTCCTTCGTAGAATTCAGAACATTGTTTGAACTGTAATTATTTACATCTGTAAACGAGAGGTTCATGGGCCACAACGCTCACCGGAGTAACTATGACCCTTCTGTTCTTCATCAGCAGATTCATAATTTGAACAATCTTTCAAGAATCTACACTACCTGTGGATGTCTTTGTATTAATATGACCAATATGACTCTGCTGTTCTTGGGAATTTTAGCTCTTCTGAGCCAAAGGCTCAAAGAGCTAATGCTATGGCCATTTGTGCGGTGTGCATAAACTTTTTAGAGTATGGGCCATAACTCAAGAACCCCTTGGCCAATTATTGTCAAATTTGTCACAGGGTATCCTTGGCCCAAGGGCTCCGTTTTATACTAAAACTAGGTTTGTGACCCTTAAACAAGGGGAGATAATTAGGAAATAGATACAAAAGTACTGGTTGCTAAAAAATCTTCTTCTCATGACCACTAGGCAGATGATTACCAAACTTACATAAAAGGATGAGGATATGTTGTAAATTAAAAATTGTTCAAGGCATCACCCTGGGGCAAAGAGCGTGGTCTCAAGGTCACTTCAAAGTTGACCAAAAATTACATTTTATTAAAATGTTGATATTTTGCTTACTATAAGGCCTAAGATCATCAAATCTTGTCAGTTGATGCATCCAAGGACCTCATATCATGTTGACTCAAAAGTAGGTCACGGTGACCTACTTTTTAAATTTTGCGTCCATTCTTTTTCAGAATGATTTAGAGGCATATTTTGAAAAATTTAAGGCCTATGATCATCAAACTTGTCAGTTGATGTATCTTGGGTCCTCGGGAGTACGTCGACTAAAAAGTAGGTCACCTTGACCTACTTTTTGAATTTAATGGCTAATCTTTTTCAAAACAATTATGGTCATTAATTCGAATACTGAGAGGTTAAGAATCATGAAATCTTGCAAGATGATGCACCTTGGGGCCATAAAACATATGTATTAAAAAGTAAGTCACAGTGACCTACTTTTTAAACTCTGCAGGCATTCGATTTCAAAGCGTTTTAGAGGCATACTTTGGACATTTTAAAGCCTATGATCATAATACTTCGTAAGTTGATTTTTAAAAACGTCAACTGAAAAGTAGGTCACCTTGACCTACTTTTCAATTTATATGACTATAATTAAATATTTCAGGTACTAATTGGCTTAGACTCATCAAACTTTTTCAGTCGATGCATCTTGGGTCTTCGGAGTAAGTCGACTGAAAAGTAGGTCACCATGACCTACTTTTGAAAATTTATGGCTTTAATTATATATTTCAGGAACTAATTGGCTTAGAATCCTCAAACTTTGTCAGTTGATGCATCTTGGGTCCTTGGAGTTTAACAACTGAAAAGTAGGTCAACCTGACCTACTTTTGAAATTTTATGGCTGTATTTAATATTTTTCGGGTACTATTTGGCTAAGAATCATCAACAAATTTTTCAGTTGATGCATCTTGGGTCCTCGCAGTAGGTCAACTGAAAAGTAGGTCACCGTGACCTACTTTTCAATATATATGACTATAATTAAATATTTCAGGAACTAATTGGCTTAGAATCATCAAACTTTGTCAGTTGATGCATCTTGGGTCCTTGGAGTACGAGAACTGAAAAGTAGGTCACCCTGACCTACTTTTGAAATTTTATGGCTGTATTAAATATTTTCGGGTACTATTTGGATTAGAATCATCAAACTTTGTCAGTTGATATATCTTGGGTCCTCGCAGTAGGTCGACTGAAAAGTAGGTCAATTTATATGACTATAATTAAATATTTCAGGAACTAATTGGCTGAGAATAATCAAACTTTGGTCAGTTGATGCATCTTGGGTCTTCGGAGTAGTTCTACTGAAAAGTAGGTCACCCTGACCTACTTTTGAAAATTTATGGCTTTAATTAAATATTTCAGGTACTAATTGGTTTAGAATCATCAAACTTTTATCAGTTGATGCATCTTGGATCTGCAGAGTTAGTCGACTGAAAAGGAGGGCACTATGACCTCTTTTTGATATTTTATGGTTTTATTTAAATATATCAGGTACTTATTGGCTTAGAATCATCAAACTTTATCAGTTGATGCATCTTGGATCCTCAAAGTATGTCATCTGAAAAGTAGGTCACTTAGACCTACTTTTGAAATTTTATGGTTATAATTTTAAAAATATTTTAGGTATTAATTGGCTTAGAATCATCAAACTTAGTTGATGCATCTTGGGTCCTCAGAAAATGACAAGTTATAAGTAGGTCACCATGACCAACTCTCAGGTACTAATTGGCTTAGAATTGTATTGGGTTCTCAGAGTGTTTCATCTAAAATGTAGGTCATGTTGACCTACCTTTGGAATTTCAAGGGTTTATCTAAATATACAGGATACTTAGAGGCTTCAAATAGAAGTGATAGGTTGTACAGTTTATCAGAAGAGCGATTCAAGGCCCTTGGGCCTCTTGTTTTTAAAGATTTCTACATATGTATTATATATTGATTCTTATTCATAACTTTGATCCATTGTAGTGGCCCTGCCTTACCCCAAAGGAACCATGTATTGTACAAACTTCAATCTATACAACCTAAGGATGACTCTATTAATATGAATCATCGTGGCTTTGCTGTTCCTCAAAAGTTTTTAAAGTTATTTCCTATATAATTCTTATGTAAAATTTTGATTCCCTGCTGTGACCCTGCCTTACTCTCGGGGATAATGCTTTGTACAAACTTCAATCTACATTACCTTAGAGGGTTTCTGTATTTATATGACTAATCATGACTTTTCTGTTCCCGAGTAGAAATTTTTAAAAAAGATTTTTACATATGTACTATATATTGATTCTTATTTATAACTTTGATTCCCTGTAATGGCCCTTTCTTTAGCCCCTGGTGCATGATTTGTATAAACCTCAATTTACGCTCCTGTATAAAAATTCCTTATCAGGGCTTTGCTGTTCTTGATAAAAAAAATCTTTTAAAGGAATACATGTATGTCAATCTAGCCTTGAGAAATATAGGATATTAATTTTTTGGGACTCATTGAAAGTTAGTGTAACATGTTCATGATTTTTACTTTCATTTTTACATACATGTATTTTAAGTCAATAGACAATTTATTAAAATACAATATTTTTGTAAATCATAAATGCAGTATTTTTTGCTACATGTTGAGCAGTTGAAACAAATATCTACATGAGCATAGAATATAATGACTTATTATATTTCTTTTATGAACGAGCATCATTCCTCGTGTCATGTTACACATTCACAGCAAAAACAAAGACATTAAGACAAACAAAAAATATACGACACATGAAGATTTCGTGCAGAATTCCATTTGGATTGGACGGTATGATTTATGGATTTGAAAATGTTCCCATAATATCACCGACAGCCAGGAGCGACTCGGTCTCATCACCTGTTGAAGTTGTAAATCGAATCACTTGAGGGTTTTTACAGAAATCGTTGCATTGTTTGTATATAATGTTTCTCGCTGATTAAGATCCTGATTTCTGGTTTCAATCCCGTACGGTCTAAGGTGGTACACGTAAAATTCTAGGGAGTACATGCTCTCTGGCTTAATATAATGAAATGAAATGGAATAGTCACTGATGCTCTCCACACCCTAAAAAATAAAACAAGTATCATTTATGTATTCATTCTAATATAGAGTGTCAATTTTCTGTATGTTTTAATCTCTCTGTCGAAAAGTAATTCCCAAGAGCATATAATTATATAATACATTGGTATATAGATATAAGCATTTGACAGTCAACAATATATATTTTATTGACTGGGTTTGAGGGCAGACCCAAGAACCAAACTGTTTGCCTGAGGTCGTTGGGCCAAAGGCAAACAAACGCATTTTTTGTCCGAGAATACAGTCAATAAATGTTTTGTTATCCTTTGACTTTTTCCCTTGACATATTGTCTTTCAAACATATTATCTATTAATAATTAAAAAATCTGCATTATGTCTATTTTAATGTAGTCATAATACAAATGTTTATTGATAAATAGAAAATATGTCCGAAAGACAGTATCTTGCTTCCACTTTAGTGATATCTGGTAAGATACAGCTAATAACGCTAACGGTCATAACGGTCCAACATCGATTTTTTTTGACCGCTCAGAAAAACATCGGAAATAGTAGTCTGTTTAGTATAGATTTATAAAGAAAACAGTTTTTAAAGGTACAGCAATATTTGTTTATCTGATGCTAGCCAGGTCTACAGGCTTTCTACTCTACTTGGATGAACTAGAGTGTTCCAAAGAACGCATGTGTCGCCTGCTTTATAGCATTTTTAAAGATTAAAATAAGTTTAAGGACATTGGCAAGTCAGGGTTTTCCGGAGGAAAAAGGTTAAATAAAGGTTTTTTGCGCTTATGAAATAGTGATTGAGAGTGATCTCCCGTGTAGAATTCTCTTAGCCGTGAAAACCAATAAAGCGTATGTTACAGAGGTAAACAAAAGCACATGTACTTCCTTCATCGGGTAGAATTTCATCTATACAGCAAGAAAGAAAAGTAGTAATGGCTTTGTTGTACATTGTATTCAGGGGACAAAGAGCCAACAGGTCGTCATTTACTATAGTTATGCTAAGTATGTTGGGATGGGCAAAGATGTGACATATGCTGAAAGGTAGACCGACTGAGATCAATTCTTAGGTTGTATGAAGGAAGCAGCATTTAGTAACTACGAATAAAAATCAAAATAAATCCATGCCAATATTTTTATGACAGTATGTTTCAGCCAATTCAGTCAATTGCATGATAGAAACACTCAACCAGTCTGACTCTCTTGTCCATTATGAATAACGTAATTATAGCTGTTGAGGGAAGTAACTCAAAAATATAGATCGGGGCCGGTATGTTCATGTCTTGTTTCTATATAAATATTTTCAGCCAAAATATCTAGAAGTCATAGGAAATGAAGATACAATAATGTATATAATACAAAAACTATATGAAATAAGTGGGTTTTGGAGAAATATTATGGTGAAAAATTATGTAGGTCCCTTTTATCAACAATATACTTAGGAAATGCATTGAGAATTGCAAAAACAATGAATAGACAAAATCTAAAAAAGAAGATTGGCTTGGTAGGTTAAACAATCCAGAATATAGCCTGTTTAGTACAAGTAAACCTACTCTAGAGTTCTTGAAAAATTTTATACGATAACCAGGAACGTTGCCAATGTCCTTCAGGCATTTGCCTTCAAACACAAAAAAAAATCCACGGATAGTAAGACTGCCATAGAAAAGCACTTATCATATAAAATCTGGCAATCATATAGAAATATAATTCCTCAAATTCCTCAATCCTCAAAGCAAAGTAGGCAAAAGGTAAAGGTCAAGTGGACTGTAACGTTGGTTTTTTTAGCTCACCTGAGCTGAAAACTCAAGTGAGCTTTTCTGATCACCCGTTGTCCGTCGTCCGTCCGTCCGTCTGTTCGTCTGTCTGTCCGTCTGTAAACTTTTCACATTTTCAACTTCTTCTCAAGAACCACTAGGCCAATTTTAACCAAACTTGGTACAAAGTATCCTTGGGTGAAAGGGAGTGTAAATTGTTAAAATAAAGGGCAAAGTTCCCTTACAAGGGGAGATAATCAAGAAAAGACAAAAATAGGGTGGGGTCATTAAAAAATCTTCTCAAGAACCACTGGGCCAGAAAAGCTGAAACTTATATGGAAGCACCCTGGGGTAGTGTAGATTCTAAATTGTTAAAATCATAACCCCCGGGGGTAGGGCAGGGCCACAATAGGGAATCAAAGTTTTACATTGAAATACATAAGAAAAATCTTCAGAAATCTTCTTCTCAAGAACCACTGGACCAGAAAAGCTGAAACTTATATGGAAGCATCCTGGGGTAGTGTAGAATCTAAATTGTTCAAATCATGACCCCCGGGGATAGGGCGGGGCCACAATAGGGAATCCAAGTTTTACATTGAAATATATAGGAAAAATCTTTAAAAATCTTCTTCTCAAGAACTACTGGGCCAGAAAAGCTGAAACTTATATGGAAGCATCCTGGGGTAGTGTAGATTATAAATTGTTCAAAACATGACCCCCGGGGGTAGCGCGGGACACATTAGGGAATCCAAGTTTTACGTTGAAATATATAAGAAAAATCTTTAAAAATCTTCTTTTCAAGAACCACTGGACCAATAAAGCTGAATCTTATTTGGAAGCATCCTGAGATAGTGTAGATTCTAAATTGTTCAAATCATGACCCCTGGGGGTAGGGCGGGGCCACAATAGGTACATTAAAAGGGGGAAATCTGGTAAAGAACAGCATGGCCAAAGTTACTCAGGTGAGCGATGTGGCCCATGGGCCTCTTGTTTTTCATTATGTTGGCAAACATTTCACATGCAAAATAGTATAGACTTACCTCTTTAATGTCAAAAATATGCTGTATATCGGCACAATTTTGAAAGTAGGTCAAAGGTCAAAGTAGGTTTAAGGGTTACAAATTCTCTGAATTCTAAAACTTTAATGTAACATAAGCTCCGCCTTTTTTACCAGGTCATCCCCAATCTTTATAAGGGCCGTTGCATGCTCCTCACATTATTTAACCATTCGTTTTTTATTTCGATTTAGATAACTGATTTTATGAAACTTCAAGAGTACTGTGCAACAATATATTCGAGAAGTGGTGTAAATCAGATGTGGATACTTAAAAATTCCAAGGAACTTTTGGAAAATTTGAAATCACAAGATTTTACCAAAATCAACAGCTTAAAAACTTATGACTTTTCAACTTTGTACACAACCATTCCCCACGATAAATTAAAGTCCAGGCTTTTTGATATCATTGACAGCTGCTTTTTCAATAAAAATGGAACTCGTAAATATACTTACCTTGTCATTGGTCATTTGCAAAATTATTTTGTCAAAAAACAAGTACTCTGAAGTTGACATTAAAAAGATGCTTGAGTTTCTGATTGACAATATCTATGTGGTTTTTGGAGACCAGGTCTTCCAACAATCTATTGGAATTCCTATGGGTACCAATTGCGTCCCGTTGTTAGCAGACCCTTTTTTGTATTCGTATGAAGCAGAATTTGTCCAAAATCTTGTACGTGAAAAGAAGAAAACACTTGCTGTGGCGTTCAACTCGACATTTAGATATATCGACGACGTATTGTCAATTAACAATGGCTATTTCCATTCTCATGTCGATACGATATATCCTTGTGAACTTGAGATAAAAGATACCACAGAGTCTGACACATCTGTTTCATATTTGGATATTTTACTTGAAAAAGACGTTAATGGTAATCTAACAACCAAGCTTTATGATAAACGTGATGACTTTAACTTTTCAATCGTCAACTTCCCTTACTTATGCAGCAATATACCTTCATCACCTGCATACGGGGTATATATCTCTCAGTTGATTCGATACGCAAGAGCATGCTCTACGTATGTACAATTTCTAAAACGAGGTAAATTATTGACAAATAAGTTGATGAAACAAGAATATCAGCTGTCTCGTTTAAAGTCATCATTTCGTAAGTTCTATGGTCGATACAATGACCTTGTCAGCAAATACAATTTATCATTGAATGAAATGCTGACTGACGTTTTTCACACTAATTGTTAGGCCATTATTTACACACTGAATTGTCGACGAATTTTTCCGTTATTTCCCGATCATGACAAGGAGCACACGGCGGGTGTGACCGGTCGGCAGGGGATGCTCACTCCTCCATGGCACCTGATCCCACCTCTGATGTTTGGAGGTCCGTGTTTGCTCTGCTCCTATTTTGTATTGATTAATGGACTTTTGAGCTTGAATACTGTTCGTTATCTCCATATATTTCATGATTGAATAATTCATATCTCTCTGATTGGCTGAGATCAACAATGTAGGAAAAAAAACTACGTTATATTCACCTGCACGTGACCTTCCAGGTAAATAATTATAAGGATTTATTTTCTCTACATTGGTCTAAAAATAGATCGGGAAATTCCAAATCGATACAAATAGTTTTAGAAGGCTATTTCACTTGCTACCGACTTCCATTCAGGCAAACATAGCATTAGGAAATATATAATTTTGGTGGGGGTGGTTTTTTTTTTTTGGGGGGGGGGGAGGGTGCAGGGACCTCCACCCCCCACAAACAATTTTTTTCTGAACGTAAATTTTTACTTTAATTTACACTAAAAATATTCATTGAAAGGCTGGTCCCCCACTAATGGACTTTAATCCCCCACCTCAACCCCGAAACAAAATTTGAAATTAAAAGAATTCTCTTTTCGTGGGGGCTAATCAAAAATTTATTTTTCAGCTGTCATTTTCCCCTGATAATGCCCTCTTTCAAAATCTATCTTATTAAAAAGCATGTCATTATTTCTTTTCTTCATAGCAGCTTAATTAATTAGATTTACAAAATTCCAAATTAAACGACTGGTAATGTTTATTTAACCCTGCTTCTCTAATTGCATTTGGTTATGACTTCAGCAAATGTAAACAAGTAAGATGGCATGAACTGCTTAATGAGTTCGTATCATTTAATCATTGAATTATATAATAAAACAATTATTGCTGTTTTTCAGTCAATACGATGATTAAGCCACCCTTCGGGCTCGGTGAGTAATGTACTCCTCAGGTGGCTAAATCATCGTATTGACTGAAAAAACAGCAATAATTGTATAATATTGTAATTTTCCTTTATATTATATTCGAAACACACAGAATAAGCAGAAGACATTAATGACCTTTATCTCATAATTAAAACATTGTCTTTCGCTAAACATTCTTGAGTCTTTCGTCACAAGTGTATAAGCATTGGGCACAGAATGGCAGCAAAGAGCCTCATCGCCGATAGCGATGCGCCTAATAAGAATGTTTTATTGCAAACATATAATTAAGATATGATTGGAAGATTTTTTTTCTTCAACTTATACGTTATACCTGAAAAAAGTTGATAATCCAGTTGGATTACGTTAATGTATGAGGACATTTGCGACCCCGTCAAAATATAAGACAAATAAATTGAATTAATACCAGGTACAACGAAATACATTATACTGTTTAGGAAGGTTAAAACTTATGTACAAAAGTATTGTTATGCTACGAAAACCGGATAAGCTCATTTTTGACAAGATAAAAAAAGTATTTTTAAAATTCGTTATTACGAGTTAGCATGTCGTTATAATGAGTTAATTATCTCGTTATAATGAGTTAGTTATCTCGTTATAACGAGTTAGTATCTCATTATAATCAGTTTAATTCGTTGTTACGAGTTAATTAGTATCTCGTTATAATGATTTAATTATCTCGTTACTACGAGTAAGTTATCTCGCTATAACGAGTTAGACCTTGTTATGATCAGTAAGTATCTCGTTATAACGAGATAATTATCTTGTTATAACGAGTTAGTTATCTCGTTATAACGAGATAGTTTGTTCGTTATTTCGAGATTTAATATCAATATCGGAATAAAAATGCAGTTTTCAATGCCTTTGGATTTTTAGTTAATAATAGTTAACAGTCGAATTTAACTTGAATAATTGATAAATAGTTGAAAGTTTAATTTGCGCTAGGGTTTAATTATGATTAAGTCTTTAATTTTCTTGCTGTCAACAATCATGTTTTGATAAGTATAGCAACTCTAAGGCGAGCACATTTACACATTACTAGCCTAGTGTCAGTGTTGAAAACAATTCGTGAACAAGCAGACGGCATAATAAATAATGACACTATTATATAAATATACTTGGCAATTTATTTATGGCAACAATTTCTGATGAATGACACTATTTTGACATGCTCTGGATGATGAAATATATGGAGATAACGAACAGTATTCAAGCTCAAAGTCCATTAAACATTACAAAATAGGAGCAGAGAAACACGGACCTCCAAAACATCAGAGGTGGGATCAGGTGCCATGGAGGAGTGAGCATCCCCTGCCGACAGGTCACACCCGCCGTGTGCTCCTTGTCATGATCAGGAAATAACGGAAAATTCCGTCGACAATTCAGTGTGTAAATAATGGCCTAACAATTAGTATGAAAAAAGTCAGTCAGCATTTGACTCAATGATAAATTGTATTTGCTGACAAGGTCATTGTATCGACCATAGAACTTTATACTGATTTATACTCTTTCATATATTAATATCTAATTCCCCAATTTTGCACTTAAATAATGCATATATATTAATTATGCCGCTAATATTAAATATCACAGACATTATAATTGCAACATATCGCAGGCGTTAATGCAACATATAATATATAATTATGATGCCTTCACGTTAGCGAGTTATTTAGGTAAGAGACGATATCTACAAAATTTGAACGACTTGTAACAATACGTAATTTGACATCAGATATAATCTATAGTATTGAATCAATGACTAACTAAGTTGAAATAGTTAAATAGAGGGAAATTATGGCATGTCAAACGTTGCAACATTCGATCATTTTTATTTGTATTGTATAATTTTCTATAATTTTCGCATTGTATAATTTTCTATTTGTATTGTATAACGTTTATTTATATTGTACAATTTTTCATTTGTATTGTATAATTTTTCATTTGCATTGTATAATTTTTATTTGTATTGTATAATTTTTCATTTGTATTGTATAATTTTGGTATTGTGTAATTTTTTCATTTGCATTGTATATTTTTTTCATTTGTATTGTATATTTTTTTCATTTTCATTGTATAATTTTCCATTTGTATTGTATAATTATTATTTGTATTGTATACTTTTCCATCTGCATTGTATAATTTTCCTTTTGTATTGTATGATTTTATTTGTATTGTATACTTTTCCATTTGTATTGTTTAATTTTCCATTTGTATTGTATAATTTTCAATTTGTATTCTATAAATTTCTATTTGTTTTGTGTATTTTTACAATACAAATGGAAAAGTATACAATACAAAAGGAATATTATACAATACAAATGAGAAACTATACAATACAAATGAAAAAAATTATACAATACAAATGAAAAATTATACAATACAAATGAAAAAATATACAATACAAATGAAAAATTATATAATACAAATAAAAATTATAGAATGCAAACGAAAAATTTTACCATACAAATGAAAAATTATAGAATGCAAATAAAAATTATACAATACAAATTAAAAAAAATATACAATACAAATGGAAAACTACAATACAAATGGAAAATTATAGATTACAAATAAAAATTAGACAATGCAAATAAAAAAATACACAATACAAATGGAGAATTATAGAATACAAATAAAAAAAATTACAATACAAATGAAAAATTATACAATACAAATGGAAAATTATACAATGCAAATGGAAAAGATCGAATATTGGAACGTTTGACATGCCATAGGAAATAATATGAAAGAGTAAAGGTGTCTACACTTGTTGTGTTAAATCTGTACATTGTCTAATTTGTTATTGTCTTAACGACTTGTAAAGTGTTAAAACTCCTTATTAATACACAAATATTAAATAGTATCTTGGTGATTTAGCAAAATTTAAGGTAGCTTCTTTAATTTATTTGATTGATTTTAAGCTATAAATTATTGCGGCTTAAAAAATTTTGATTTGAAAATATTGCTAAAAGCAAAAGATTTAATCATATCGATATGGTGATACATGTATCGATAACTAACAATAAATACATAGTTAAATAAAGTAGATTCATTGGGATTTTTACCCCCCCCCCCCATGAAAATCTTTTAGTAAGGTCTGGAAACATCTTTTTCATGGTGCAAGTATTTATAGAAACAGACTATAGCAATTTCCTGCTTACTGCCATTTTATTTTAAAAAACCGGCTCTACCTTATAACCTTTGCATGCGTCAACTAGACCACATGGCTTGAATTTATAAATCACAATAACATAAGCAGGGGTGAATTAAGCATTGACTGTTTATGATACAGAATACAACAATATTAGATATGTCTTACCTGCATTTAAATGTCTTTGATAGATATGTGCACACAGAAGACAGGACGGTAGAAGTAAAAGGAAGGGTATAACAGGAAAGGCATCAGATTTTACTCAAGGTAAGAGAGAGAGAAGAATGCAAAAGGATCCACAACCACTTAAACGTCATTTCCCACCCAAATGCCGGATACTGAACACTTCGGAAAAAAGATGGGCAAACAGGCGAGCAAAATGCCTTTTGTGCGACAAATATGAAAATTAAAAAATTAAATCTAAATAATGACATTTTTTTTTATATTTCATTTAACATTAACGTATACTTTTTGTCAAATCTCCATAATTTGCAACAATGTTGAAATTATTCATCTTTGAAAAACACCAAAGGGCGCAAAATGATCATTCCTTCATTCTATATTACTATTTTTCTCTATGAGTGGGAATTGGCTACATTTTTTTGGAAGATTATACTCAAAGTATGCCAAAAAATATACACTTTTCGGTTAACAAAAAACAAAGAGCAAAGTCCAACTGTACATTAAAAATGCATTTTTATGACACAACATTCGTATCTTTCCGAGAAATATTTAGTCCATTTAGTCAAGGGTCATATCACAAACATTATTTGAATGCCGCTGTTTGTCATAAGCTGTACATGTATAGCGTAATAGGTAGAATGTCTTTAAGGGGAAAAAAACTGATGCTCAGGATTTTCATGCATGGGTTCAACCCCAAGAATAACATTTTTTTTTAAATCAGAGAATGGTTTTTGTCAAGAGATTTCCTCAGTTCTGTTTGTTATAATTTCATACCTTTTAATAATGAGAACTTTACTCTAAATACTGAATTCACAAATTGAATATGACTTTTATACATTTGAAGCTATAGATATATTGCAGGCCTTGTTCGCCCATCTCCTGCGTCACTTATAGAGGTTTTAAATCAAACAATATTATGAGAAAGAAACATTTACAATTTTTTCAAATTTCATATATTATACTAACTATGATCGATTTAAAAAATTTCGCAAGCCATAAACCAAAAGAGTATCATTTCTAAATAAGATTGCTATAATAATCTTTGGTCAGTTTAAATTTTGTAGCCCATTAAATATACCATATGGTCGTAAATGATAGATGAAGTATTCTAGTCCGTACATTTTACGGGGACCGACGTAGTGGAAAGAAATAGCATAATCGCTGATATTATCTAGCCCCTGTAAATAATAATAATAATAATAATAACGGAGGAAAAAAATATCAACCGTTATATGAAGAGCGTTCAAGATGCTAAAAACTTAATATTCATGTCTTTTGTCACAATGCATAAGAAGAAGAAACACATTAAAACAAGAGGCCCATGGGCCACATCGCTCACCTGAGTAACTTTGGCCATGCTGTTCATTACCAGACTCCCCCCTTGTAATACCTATTGTGGCCCCACCCTCCCCCCAGGGGCCATGATTTGAACAATTTAGAATCTACACTACCCCAGGATGCTTCCACATAAGTTTCAGTTTTTCTGGTCCAGTGGTTCTTGAGAAGATTTTTAAAGATTTTTCCTATATATTTCAATGTAAAACTTGGGATTCCCCCTATTGTGGCCCCGCCCTATCCCCTGGGTCATGATTTGAACAATTTCGAGTGTACACTACTTGAGGATGCTTCCACATAAGTTTCAGCTTTTCTGGCCCAGTGGTTCTTGAGAAGAAGATTTTTAAAGATTTTTCCTATATATTTCAATGTAAAACTTGTATTTCCTATTGTGGCCCCGCCCTACCCCCGGGGGTCAAGATTTGAACAATTTAGAATCTACACTACCCCAGGATGCTTCCACATAAGTTTCAGCTTTTCTGGCCCAGTGGTTCTTGAGAAGAAGATTTTTAAAGATTTTTCCTATATATTTCAATGTAAAACTTGGATTCCCTATTGTGGCCCCGCCCTACCCCCGGGGGTCATGATTTGAACAATTTAGAATCTACACTACCCCAGGATGCTTCCACATAAGTTTCAGCTTTTCTGGCCCAGTGGTTCTTGAGAAGAAGATTTTTAAAGATTTTTCCTATATATTTCAATGTAAAACTTGGATTCCCTATTGTGGCCCCGCCCTACCCCCGGGGGTCATGATTTGAACAATTTAGAATCTACACTACCCCAGGATGCTTCCACATAAGTTTCAGCTTTTCTGGTCCAGTGGTTCTTGAGAAGAAGATTTTTCCTATATATTTCAATGTAAAACTTGGATTCCCTATTGTGGCCCCGCCCTACCCCCGGGGGTCATGATTTGAACAATTTAGAATCTACACTACCCCAGGATGCTTCCACATAAGTTTCAGCTTTTCTGGCCCAGTGGTTCTTGAGAAGAAGATTTTTAAAGATTTTTCCTATATATTTCTATGTAAAACTTGGATTCCCTATTGTGGCCCCGCCCTACCCCCGGGGGTCATGATTTGAACAATTTAGAATCTACACTACCCCAGGATGCTTCCATATAAGTTTCAGCTTTACTGGCCCTGTGGTTCTTGAGAAGAAGATTTTTTAATGACCCCACCCTATTTTTGTCTTCTCTTGATTATCTCCCCTTGTGAGGGGACTTGGCCCTTCATTTTTACAATTTAAATTCCCCTTCGCCCAAGGATGCTTTGTACCAAGTTTGGTCAAAATTGACCCAGTGGTTCTTGAGAAAAAGTCAAAAATGTGAAAAGTTTACAGACGGACGGACAGACAGACAGACAGAAGGACAGACGGACGGACGACGGACAAAATGTGATCAGAAAAGCTCACTTGAGCCTTCGGCTCAGGTGAGCTAAAAAAGTATTGCAATGCAATTATAATATTTTCTAAAGAAAGTGGGCGCACTAGATAGGATGTCGGCAGGAATTACTGATACGAAACGTATAAGCCCAACATTGCCATATTGGCCACATCTTTCAAAGATTCCCCAGCCATCACCATGATCTCTCAACAGTAGCAACCTCTGTTCAAATAGTTTTAAAAATCTACGAAAAGTATTTTTGCAGCTTTATTTAATAGATAAGCTCTGCAACTCTGCATTTCCAACAATAATGCAGCACTCTAGAACGATTAACGTCACATATGGATTTGAATTGAAGTGACAGTACTAGACTTTTCGCTTCAGTTTAATTTTTATCAAAAACCAATTATATACTGAGTATTGCTATCTCTGGTTGTATCTCCATTCTTTTACAATTTGTAGTAAATTTTATGGTGATAGATCCAGAAACAACAAAATCACTGAAGAAAAAGATTCACAGAGTATAATTTTTGCATCAGTTCGTATATATATTCCGGTAAAACCAAGTATATCAAGAGAAATATTAAACATTTACCTAGAGCACAGTTAATAACTAAGATTCTAAAAAAGGTGTTAAAGATATCGATATTTTTTTTATTCTCTTAATGTGCCCAGATTCCTGTCGAATAGCTATGGAATGTGCAAACTTTTTTATTATAGATTTCCTATTCAAATGATATTCAAACGGTATAATGGGTTTGTTGTAATATAGTATAGAAACTCTCTCTGAAAATGAGATAAAACAATAACTAAAATCAACAACAGATATCACAATCATTAAAGTACAGCATTAACATTTCCGTTTCAGAATAAATGGTGAGCTATTTTTACGAGCAAAGCAGACTACACGAAGTTCTTTTCTCATTGTCTGCTTCGCATATACTTGTAACTAGGGTGAGTTCACCATGCATCGGACACCCTCGTTGTCCAAAGCAAGGTATGTATCCGATGCATGGTGAACTCACCCTATAGCTAGCAACATCAAGTAGAAAAGCCCCAAGGGCAACAACGCTCACCTGATCACCTTGGCCTTGTTGTTCTTAGGAGGAGGAATATTAAATTATTTTTTCCTCTTTATTCTGTGAAGAATTTTGATACCCTTTATAGGAATAGTGATGCCTTGTCCTATCCCTCCCCCGGGGCCTTGCATTCATGGTCTGAGTTTCATTCAACCATTCTGGCCCATGATTAGCACAAAATTAAATCTGCACTACATGAGGATGCTTGCACATTGATAAGACTACTCAGCGTAATTGTTATAATTGAGAACAAGATTCCTAAATATTTTTCCAATATATTCCCATGTCAAATTTTGTTCCCAGTTGCCTTTATCCTACCCTCGGGAGCCAAGATTTGACAAAATTGAATATGTATTACCTAAAGATGCTTGCATTTTATGTATGAATTGCCATGATACTGCTGTTCTTGAAAAGAAGATTAAAATATAATGTAAAATTCAATACTTTTAGAGTTGAACAACTTGCTCTTTAAATGTCAAGAGCTTTTGAAGGAAAATAATTACCTTTTTAGCTCCATTGGCGTCATACTTATAGTACCAATTTGGATATCCTCCCATTAGATGGGTTTCTGGATCAAAGCAATGAAATCGGCTTCTTCCAAGAGCATCCGTTGAATTTGCTGTTTTAACCCCGAGGTTTTGCATGCATTTTCCCAGTTCGGCGTCCTCAGCGCCGCCGTCTTGCCTACAAAATTTTGGATCTTGGCCAGTTGTTCCTAATCTTCTTAATGTCTCCTTGCTGAGAATATACCCTGCGCCGCCACTGTAATACCCCTGTCGAACTATAGTTTTAAAATGGTGACCAAAATAAACAGGTTCCATTTTGTCACGTGACGAGAGGAAATATCGGAGATTTTCCATTATAAAGTATGTGTCATCATCCGCTTTCATAAACCAATCGGCTTCATCAAAATAGTGGTCGAAGACATATTTGAATGCTCGCATTGTTTTTCCTGTAAGATGTTCACGGCCCTCTGAGATATTAAGTCCAATCGTGGGAAAAGTGTGATTTGTAACAGAACTGAAAAATATCAGTTTGGTGCATCGTTTGCCCCAGGTTTTCTTCACGTGTATAGCTTTCTTCTCAAGATTTTGTGGCCCTGTCATTATCCAGCACAAAACCCGAATTTTGTCAGCCAATTTTCTTGCAACATTGTCATTATCTAAATAATAGAAATAATAATTTTTGTTAAATTTCAGACAAGCTTAACTTCAATTCTTAAATTGTTTGAGACATATTGCCCCCCCCCCCCCCCCCCCTTCATTTTGCCATATTTGTGGGTTCAACATGTATAGGTTTAATTCCGAGTACTTTCTCACTTCTTATAAGTAAAGGAGCCGAAGCTTTTAGTGACCCGATGCCTATTGCTTTTGAGGAATGAAGAGGAATGTGATGTTGACCAAATTAAAATTCGCTGTTCTTAAGAAGTAAATTTTGTGTCTATATATGATACAGACATGTTTTAATCAGATAAATATACATATGAATAATTTGTTGTTTACAATATAGGTTCTACATTGTAGTGTTGTGAAGTTTTTTTAAAAATGCCCTCTCCTCATCGGTTTTGGTAGCTTAATAAGTAGAGATTCAGATAAAAAGCGGGGGGTACCGGCTTCGGTACCAACTATCGCATCAATATTTCTTATTGAAATATAACTAATTCATTAACATTTTGCTAACTTTTAACAAACTCAACAAGCTTAGCAGCATTAGAGGTACGGGTGAGAGTATTTATCGTATAACAAGAGGCCCCTTGGCAACGACGCACACCTGAGTCGAGTCATTTTGGTCCTGCTGTTTTTTTTAATATTCCTATTTAATTTCATAAAATAATTTACATAATATTGTAGACCAAAATCTAGCCCAAGAGAGCTCTAGTAAAATATTAAAGTCGAATCCAAACAACACTGGTATTCTTCAATGTCCGCCCTGCTATTCGTGCAAACAATTTTTTTTTTCCTGTACACATGTATTACTACTGTGCAAAATTTAGATCAACCCTTTCTTTGATCCAAGGTTTTTTTCTTAATTATTTCCCCTTGAAAGAGGCTGTGGTCCTTCATTTGCTCAAACTTGAATCCCTTTCACCTCAAAGGATGCTTTGTGCCAAGTTTGATTGACATTGGTTCAGTGGTTCTGGAGAAGATGAAATTGTGAAAAGTTTACGACGACAACGACAGACAATGGACAAATTTCGATTAGAAAAGCTCTCTTCGGGCCAAGTGACCAAAAAGTATGTTCTTCCTGTGATATAGCTTATACATGTGCTGTAACTCTAAATTCCCAAAAACAAATGAAGCGCTCAAAGAGTGACGTCGACAGTGGATTCTAATAAGAGTTAATGAATGGCCTTCGAGCATCAAAAAGCAAGACATTTTGTATCACGTGAGTCATCACTCAGATGGATACAACTCAGAGTTCCCATCTCTCGGTTGGCGTCGGCCGTCGTACGCAAATTTTGTCATGGTTGTAGATTCAAGCTACGGTAGACTTCCCCTAGCTAATCGGTCATTTTATCAACTTTTCTTAATACTAACCATGATGTTTGTGTTCATCATTAAAATCCACCCCTCTGATGTCATCCCGAGAGAGTCGTCTGTCCATGTCCTCGTGCATTTCGTCGTACGTTTTGGCCACTTCCTGTAATGACCTGGAGGAGAGATAGCTTTCGAATTTTTCTGCTGCATACTTCCGGGTCAAAATAAGGGGTGTTTGAAGGGAGGAAAAACTAGCGATGAGAAATGAAATCACCAGGCCGACTGACAAACCAAAACAGAAATTAAGATGGGACGTGTGAAAACATCCAAGTGCTGAAAAGAAAGCAGAGACAAATTATAAATTACAGTTTTCAATGCCGATGTGAATTGACAAATATCTATCTATCTATCTATCTGTCTGTCTGTCTATCTATCTATCTATCTATCTTTTTACATTATTCTGTATTATTTAAGTACTTGACTTATTATAAAAAGTCGAATTTAGTATAAATGCTGTGTTTCCAAAACAGAACTTACTAACAGACTGTACTTTTCATGAGCTAGCATGCAAGATAAAGTAATTAGTCTCATTTTATTGACCTTTCAATGACATCATTTACAGTAATTAATTATCATAGGTAGCTTTGTACTCTGTGTGCCAAGGAGCAGAGCAGATTTTCAAAGAAATACTGCATTGTCACTATATAATCATGCAATAGACCCTCCAAACCTGGCCCTGGGGCCACAAAATTCACAACTTTGGAAGAGGGACCCTTGATCATCATAGCCAAATACCTAGTTTATCTGCTAAATATTCAGGGGTAGAGAAGAAGATTTTTGAAAAATTTATGCATTTTCACTATATGATCAATAGAGCCCTGCTCTAACACAAGAACCCCTGACCCTGGGGCCATGAATTTCAAAGTTTTGGTAAGGGCTCAATGTTTATTTCAACAATAAAATACTTTCTTTGGTTGTTAGTACGGGAATTAATGTCGCAGAACTCTAATGTTGGCTCTGCTCCTGATTTGTTTTGTTTGAATGGACCTGTGAGCTTGAATACTGTTCGTTATCTCCATATATTTCATCATTACTATTTTTTTGATTTTACAAAATTAAATCTTAATTAGATTTCAAAAGAAAGAAATGTTGAAAACATAGAAAAGTAACTCTTCTGTGTGGAATATATTTTTGTTTGTGGTAAGCATCTTCAAAAATCATCCTTGCTGCACAGCAATACAGTTAGGCACACATTTATTCCTGTTGGACAGTGGAGCATTTTAATTGATGAAAAATTATAATGCGATCGAATACGATTCATGATAAACAAGAGGCCCATGGGCCACAACGCTCACCTGAGTAACTTTGGCCCTGCTATTCTTCACCAGATTTCCCTCCTTATAATACTTATTGTGGCCCCGCCCTACCCTCGGGGGTCAAGATTTGAACATTTTAGAATCTACACTACCCTAGGATGTTTTCACATAAGTTTCAGCTTTTCTGGTTCAGTGGTTCTTGAGAAGAAAATTTTTAAAGATTTTTTTTCTATATATTTCAATGAAAATATTTAGAATTTACATAACCCCAAAATGCTTCCACATAAGTCTTAGTTATTTTGGCCCAGTGGTTCTTGAGGAGAAGATTTTTAAAGATTTTTTTTTATAAATTTCAATGTGAAATTTTGATTCTACACTACCCCAGGATGCTTCCACATAAGTTTCAGCTTTTCAGGCCCTGTGGTTTTTGAGAATATTTTTCAATGATCCCACTCTATTTTTGTCTTTTCTTCTTGATTATCTCTCCTTGTAAGGGGTGGTTTTTGAGAAGTTGAAAATGTGAAAAGTTTACAGACGGACGGACGGACAGATGGATAGACAACGGACAACGGGTGATCAGAAAAACTCACTTGAGCTATCAGCTCAGGTGAGCTAATAAAACTAACCTACGTGCACTGCTTGTATAGAAGTCCTATTGATTCCCCCTTTCCTCCTTTTTCAATTTATATATATACAAACAGAAATTCCATTGGTTATCACTCATCATCCAAAAAATCACATCTTCAACACAACGAAACAGTGTTTGCCCATACTTCAACAATCAAAAAATTTGAACGACCTTATTAAGGAGAAGGATTTAATCTATAGTAGAAGGCAACCACCAAATTTGAAGAAAATCCTCACGAAAGCCAAATTCACTTTTTCAAAAGAAAAATTTGTGGTTTCCAAATGTGACGATCCGCGTTGTGGAACTTGCGATTTCCTACAAATCGGAAAATCAATCACATTCAAAAACGGAATAGATTTTAAAGTTCAACATAACATGAACTGTAAATCAAAGAACGTCATATATTGCACGACCTGTCGTGGTTGCGGAGAACATTACATTGGACGAATGGGAAATAAAATATCTGACCGTGTAAGAGTACATAAGCAGCATATAAGGGACCCACCCGTTCGGAATACTCCGTGCAGCAAACACCTTGAACGATGCGGCAAGGGACTTTCTAGTATCTTTCCATTCTATAAAGTTACAGAGGAAAATGAACAGTTACGGCGGGCAAAAGAACAATATTTCATTGACAAATGTAAACCTAAACTTAACAGATAAATATCCTGACTTTATATATGTTTTCATATTTTAATTATTGGTTATTATTGTGTAAACATGTTTCATTTATAGTGTCAATTCTATATTTATTTTGGCGCTTTCTTCGGACATTGTTTGCGCCAACTTTTGACGTTGTCTTTTAACTATGATGTCATAATAACGACATTATTATGTCATGTTGCTATTGTTATTGTCAATATTAAAAATCCACTTTTTCATATTATTTCGAATAAAATTTGCATTATCATGTATATACAATCAAATTTGAAATCCGTTATTTTAAAAATCATTGCCAAATCAAAATAAATCATTCATTAGTTTGTAAGTGTTCTATAACGGATTAACAATTTTTTAAGATATTAGAGAAATTTAATATCGTTGAATGGCTTGATGAAATAGTATATATAATTTAAAATACAATATTTTCTTCAACTAACTTTTACTTTACTTGTTCCAGAACTTACACTATAAAAGAAGTGCAGATGATACCAATATATCGATAAAGTATCCACCCTCGAGTATAAAAATACCTTTCCGTGGAATTACACTTTGCGTTAAAAACAATATTACTAAGTCTTTTATTTCTTAAGAAAGTGATTGAAATATTTGGTAAACCGAGAAGCTTCCTGGGACTTCGCCCCCCCCCCCCCTTGCGCCCCCACCAGGATTTCGCCTCCGACCTACTGGGGGGCCTCAGCTAGGACAACTCCCAGACCTCCTGCCGTTCTCTGCGTACACTTTACATGTGCGTACATTCTGGTTACGCGCCTGCATCCAATGGACTTGAAATTATATATATATATATATATATATATTACATTTCCAATGTCTTTGTCCGAGATAAAATTACAAATTGTAAAAATACTTTATTTCTACATAAATCTACTGGTTCATCGATAGGCGCGGTTTAAAAAAAAATCACGTGCGGGGCGGGACAAATAGAGACAGAAGCGGGGCTATTAGCACGGGAATTTGCAGAATCAGGAGCATGTAAATATAAGGAATAACTGTCAGATTTTTTGGATTCATGACGATGATCAATCGATTGGCTTGCGTGATAATTTTATGCATAAACGCCTTCGGCGTTTATGCAAATTATCACGCAAGCCACTCGATTGATCACATCATGAATCCAAAAAATAAGACAGTTATTCCTTAAATATATATATATATATATATATATATATATATATATATATATATATATATATATATATATATATATATCAGGGTTCTCCACATTTGAAAATTTAACCATGGAGGAAGCTTCGCGAAAGCGAAATGTGATCGAAAGCATGAACGCTTGTTAGACTCTCTAAGCTTCATTAATCAAGGATTGATCTCACAAAACGTAATCACTGCAAAACAAAAAATTGACCCCCCCCCCCCCAAAAAAAAGATTAAAATAAAATAAAACAATAAAAAGCATTATGTATCTTACTTTACGAAAGTACCAACTGTACCAAAATTCGACCAAAACTGTAGGAATGGTTTAAAAGAATTTCATATTTTTAAAAATTTGATATATAGTTACCATTGCAACGTACAATGTTCGTCATTATTTATATAAAAACTAATTTACAGTTCTTATTGATCTTGCCTATTGCGTGAAAAGTTTTATTTAAATAAAATTAAAACTGATGTAGGAGTAGATCTAGTATTTTGGGCGGAAAAATTTTACAGACACACAAACGAACACACGAACAAACACCGACATTTTAACATTGCCTGAGTTTTTAACTGCATGGTCTTTGAAAACTTACTATATGGTATAAGTATCAAAACTTAATATAACCAGGGGCATAAATTTGACATAACTGTAATAATGCTTTCTCTGTTCTGTTTTTTTAAAACTTTTTTTCTACACTGCATTTTTCGCCGATTTTCCTCCATTGTTTACTTCTCCATGTGCTCCAGTGCTAAAAATAGCGCCACGCGACGTTTCATGAAAACGGGAGGTACCTCTAAAACTTAGACTTGGTGATTAGTGTTCGTGTCCATTTTGTCAGAAAGATAATAAAATTATTATATTTAAAAACGGAGCAAGAGGAATTAATTATCCTAGAGTACCCATAAATCGTCCCCTTAAGACAATATGCGTTATAGGAACGGGCAGCACGTGCGGTTTAATAAACTTTTTTCTTCATCAACATTACCATCAACCTACTTATCATGTGTGCCTATCATTTTTTTTAATCGTACCTTGTTGAAGACTTTTGGTTTCGTATTCAAAATGGAGTATTCTATATTTACTAATTGACGTCATACCCTATTTTCGTCCTCTGGAATTTAATAAGGCCATGCCTACTGTATGATCTGTTTCTCGTTACTTTTCAAGAAAACTTGTATGGGGAAAAAATCAAAGAGGTAAATAAAGCTTACACTGGTGTATTTTTAGACAAACTTGATGAATAATGCATCAGCAAAGTAGAATAAATAGATCAATAAATGCACAATGTAAAATTTCATGAAAAGTTAAATTAATGTTTTTACTTTTCAGATTTTTTTTATTTACAGTGTGGGCATAAAAAGACATCCCCTCTCCTGATAACCCGTCTCCCAGCACAGTCTCCTAAGTGAACCCAGTGGAAACACCTGTCACACTGTACCCACTTGGCAAATGAAATGAATACACTCTTTCTCACTTCATCCGGTGTAAACTGTTTACACACACAGCATTTATCTTTCTCTGATATCTCCTCTTCATCTGTATCTGAATCTGTTAGAACAGTTCTTGTATCACTGCTATGGTTACCAGATGTACTGGGTCCAGCTTCTTGTGAATCAGTTTCAACTTTCTTGGATACTTTTCTTTTGTTTTGTTTCTTACTTGGACATGACTTACGTTTCTTTGGACATGTAGGTTCTTGGTGTTCTACGATCTGTTTATGAACTTCTTCCTCAGTTATACAGTGACCTGATGTTATTTTTGATAAGGTGTTTCTGCTCTTTGCCTTTTTCTCAGATTTTATCTTCTTTAAGTTTTCAATTTTGTCACTGAAAAAGTCCCCTGCCATAGTTGGTGTATCTTGACCCTGTGTGAGGGGAATGCGCCCGCTGTCTCCATCTTCAGTAGTCTGCACTTCTTGGGACTGGATTTCTTCTTGCTGAAGTTGGAATGCTTGAGAAGGAAGAAGATAATCCCTGTTGACTGCATTCTCATTTAAAGGATAAATTCCTGTTTTTCTAAAAGCTGCCTGTAGATTTTCCATGGTGAGTGCTTTTGTATATGATCTAGATGCAATTGAACATATGTCATACTTAGAGATGACAGAAGACAAAGCCCTGGTTTGTTTGTGACATTCATTGTTGTAGATCCTGTGGAAGGGCCCATAACATCCAACATCCAGAGGCTGCAAAAAATGACTGGTATGGGCAGGTAGAATAAATAGGATGATGTTGTGTTGCCTCGCCCAGTCAACCAAACCTACTGAGACATGTGATTTGTGGCCATCTAGACTTAAAAGGATAGGTTCTCCTCCCCTTCCTGGTGCATACTTAAGAAAGTGCTCCTCTAGATATTTTCGAAATATAGTTGAATTAGACCATCCAGTCTCTGATACCGTACCATCTGCCCCAGGAGATTTTCCGGCCAAAAACTCTGGGCGCATTCTTGCTCCCGCAAAAACAAAGTATGGTGGAATTGCTGTACCCGCAGCGCTTCCACATCCTAAAATTGTGGTGGTAGATGACTTTTGGGACATTACTTCTTGGACATTAAGGTGTCGTCCAGCAACTACTGCTGGTGGGGAATGATGTTGCTGAATCCCCTTTTCGTCAACATTGAATATCAAATGGGGCTTATCCTGAAGATTGTTTTTATGTATGACTTCCTGCAGTTCTTTGAAGTAAGAAGTTACTGTCTCTTTGTTACCTGCTTTTGCTCTCTGAATCTCCATGGCTCTTGGCTTTACTACACGGAGTTCCTCCCACCTGGACATGAATCCCTGGTACCACCTCAGAGTCAGTGGGTTATCTCTGTTACGTTTCCCCAAACTTCTTACAAAATCATTAGCCAGGTCCACAACTTCTTTCCTGGTATACCCATAGCCAAACTGAGCCATTTCTTTAATGTGGTCTGCCAGTCTTGACTCCTCTTCCATACTAAATATAGGAGCTCTGCCTGATTTAACAGTATCTACTGATACCATACCCATTGTTCTGTCTCTTAAGGTTCTCACTGGTACCCCAAATTGTCTAGCTGCACCTCGCACTGTTTGTTTCATTTCCTTAACTGCTAGATAAGCATTAGTCATCTTAGTTGGGCTATACTGTCGGTACCCTAAGGAGACTAGCTTTGGTTTAACCTATTTGAAAAAAAAAATTAAGTATATAGTCACTTGAAATTATCAACATTAGCACTAATTAAAATAATATATTATTAATATCAATAGATTTAATAATATTCTTATTCTGAAAACACACAAATTTGTAAACATTTGATATGCCATTGAAATATTGTAATTATAATAGTAATAACAAAGTAATTATCTTTTTTTTTCTTTATTTAACCAATATTTTATTCACACACACACACACACACACACACACCCTCACACACACACACACACACACACACACACACACACACACACACATATATATATATATATATATATATATATATATATATATATATATATATATATATATATATATATATATATATATATACATATATATATATATATATATATATATATATATATATATAAATAATAATCTATGATCTACCATTATGTTTGTGTTATGTATAATTTATACACAGCAACCATTTACTGGCATTTTGTAATAAAAAAATTATTTAAAAAATATGTAAAATATATTATAAAATAAAAAGAACAACATTCTGAACATATTCTTGGTTAAAGCTTAATTTATTGGTCACGTTAAAAATAGCAAACCGTAGGTACGTCAATTTCCATGCAGCCCATGTGTACGGTGCACTTGTTTCCTGTGAAACTGAAAATGTGTTTTTGTTGGCCTATTTTTTTTTAAAGCGTCTGTGTGATTCAGACTGACAGACATGATGGTGCTGTTCTCTCCATCGGGGGTTGAATATTAGGGCATAATATTGCCATTAAGACATAAAGGAAAAATTGGGCATAAGGAAAAGATGTATATTGTGTATGGCCTATTATTTTTCATTTGCATTACCTGTTTAAACCGCATTTCTTCTGAAATCTTCTTGACGTTTCTTTTGCTTCTTCTGTTTACATTCGATACCAGTAAAAAATTACGTCATAGACAAACAATTCGAAACGTGCTACTCATGAAAACTTTGGGGACGATTTTAGGGTACGGACGAATTTAGGGGTTACGACGATACATACAACGGGATAAGAAATTACGTGTATACAGGAAAATTAACTCTGAAGATATTGATAATCAGCTGATTGACTCTCAATTGTCACGCTTCACGGTATACAGGTACATGTATATTCGCCGATCAACGACCGTTTGTTTGTTTAGCACAGTTCGCTTTCTCTCGTGGTGCATGCCAGTCGTAGTATAAACACAATTAACTGCTCAGGTCATTAAAATTAATTGTCAATACTGAAATGCAATAAAAATTTAATCATGGCGGCCGCTGATTTTAACCATGGCGCAGCTCATTTAACCATGGCGCACATAAATTTAACCATGGCGGGCCGCCATGGTAAAACCCCTTGTGGAGAACCCTGATTATATATATATATATATATATATATATATATATATATATATATATATATATATATATATATATATATATATATATAAAGCACTAAAAACCAACAACACTGTATATCCGAAGTGTCGGATCTACTAAGTAGATACAAGGTCACGGATGGAAATTTATATAAAGCACTAAAAATGACCAACGACACGAACAATAATAATTGTCAAATTTTCGGGACAACCTGTCCCTTCCTCAGGACAAAGAAAAAAGTTAAGAAGTCATAAAAACAAAGGAAATAGAGAAGCAAAAACAACTAGCACTACTACTAAACTACCAAACACTAAATATTTACAAGGTTACATGTTTAATTTGGAGTTTATAAACAGTTGTGAACAAAGAAATCCGGAGCGCTATGAATTGCGTCCGGTCTATCGGGTGTACTCGGTGAAGTGTGATTTACATAATTGAACGAATTAATTATCGCTAATTAATTACGGCCAACAGTAAATCGTACATTGTCTAATTCTCTCAAAATAGCGTAACTCTACATGATAAAAAGAAATTAAAGAAAGATAATATGGAAGGACAATTTTGAAATATGAATTTGGATATATTATAAATTTGGAAATCGGAAAAAAGAAATAAACAAAAATGTGAGCTGTAAATATTTGGGTAGGTTGTTCCAGGATTATTAATACGAATTAACGGTAAAGTTTACGCTATATAGAGAGAATGAACTTGTTTGTTACAATTCGGGATTGGGTCTAGTTCACGTTCATCCTGGTGAAGTCATTAAGTTTGTTAATACCATTAGGGCGGAATGACTTCAGCCTGTGCATCCAGAACTTTTCCTTGCCTTTTCTCTGCGCGTCTGTCCATCTTGGATTATGGTCAATAACCACTACTGTCATGTCCTCCCATTTGTGACCTTCAAGGTTGAAATGTTCCCCAACGGGTTCATTGAGTTTTTTGGTCCTAATGGTAGAACGGTGATTATTGACTCTCCTGCGGAGATCTCCTGTTTCACCAACATACTGTTTGGAGCAAACTTTGCAGCTGATGAGATAAATGCAGTTGTCTGTTTGACAGGACAAATTCCCTAGTATTTTGTAGCTGCGGCCTGTAACGGGGCTGTTAAAACTGTCTGTGTCAGAGCTGTACTTACAGAGAAGACATCTTCTGTCAGAGCAAGTTTTAAAGCCCCCGTTAGGTAATGGATTGTCCAATCTGGTTCTTACTACCATGTCCTTCAGGTTCCTCGGGCGCCTGTATGCAGCCAATGGGGGCTCCTTAAAGACCTCTGTCATTCGTTTATTTGAGTGGAGAATTGGCAGATTCTTTTGAAGGATACCGCTGAGGTTCTTAAGGACGGGATGGTATGTGGTTACCAGAGGGACCCTGCCGCTATTGTCTTTTTCCTTGTAGCGTAATAGGTTTTGCCTGTCATGTCCCGCCATCTCATCAATAGCAGTTTGTACGGTGCGGGCATTGTAGCCTCTCTTGCATAAGTGGGACTTAAGGAGACCGCTTTGTTCTTGATATAAGGCAGGGGATGAACAGATGCGCCGAATTCTGGTGGCTAGACCCTTAGGCACACCCTTAAATGTGTGTGGGGGATGACAGCTAGTTGGCATAAGATACAGATGGGAATCTGTGGGTTTCGTGTGGAGACTGAACTCGATTTCACCATCAGTCAGGGTAGATGTAGTATCTAGGAATATGTTTTTCGAATTAGATACGTCTACTGTAAATTTGATAGACTGATGAAAGGTGTTGGCGAACGAAATGAATGCCTCGAGGCTCTCGCGACATTCCACCCACTTCATCTCTATATCGTCAATGAAACGCAACCAGCTAAGGGGCCTAAATGGTGCTTGAAAGAGCAAGTTGCGTTCCAGTCTGCCCATGAAAATATTGGCATAAGATGGTGCCATTTTCGTACCCATAGCAGTGCCATTAACCTGCAGGTAATGTTCTCCATTAAACATGAAGTTGTTATACTTGAGAACATGTTCAAGGAGCTTGGCAAGGGACTCGGTAGAAGGAATTTGTATGGATCTACTATCCCAGACTTCTCTACAGGCTTCGATACCCTCATCGTGCGGAATATTGGTGTACAAAGATGTGACGTCCATAGTCACGAGAAGGGTATGATCTGGAAGGCCAGTAGAGGGCGTCTTGTTGATGTAGTCCGTGGTGTCCTTGAGATAGGATGGCAAATTCTCTACGTGTGGACGGAGATGTAAATCGATGTATTCAGAAATTTTCTCCGTGGGGTGTCCAATAGCGCTAACTATAGGGCGACCTGGCATACCTTCTTTGTGTATCTTAGGAAGCAGATAAAATTGTCCTGGTCTACAGTCAATAGGATTGAGTGTCTCATAGACGTTGATACCAATCTCGTTTTTCTCAAACATTTCGTCAAGAGTTTTGGTGATGGCGGTGGAGAATTCTTTAGTGGGGTCAGAGTCCAGTTTCTTATAGAAACCTTGTAAATATTTAGTGTTTGGTAGTTTAGTAGTAGTGCTAGTTGTTTTTGCTTCTCTATTTCCTTTGTTTTTATGACTTCTTAACTTTTTTCTTTGTCCTGAGGAAGGGACAGGTTGTCCCGAAAATTTGACAATTATTATTGTTCGTGTCGTTGGTCATTTTTAGTGCTTTATATATATATATATATATATATATATATATATATATATATATATATATATATATATATATATATATATATATATATAAATAAGAGATGAATTTAATTTTTGAAGATTCATGAGGACATGATCTACGACGCTTCACGCCGGCATATTACATGAAGCGTTAGCGCTTCATGATAAATATGCCGGCGTGAAGCCTTGTAGTTCATGTACCTCATGAATTTTCAAAAAATAAATTCATATCTTATATTTACATTATTTTCCTGATGAGTTTCCACACGTTACTCCATTCAACTGTCATTTTCGAAGCAAAACAGTTTGCACTATAGTACGGTATTATGACGTAACAATAGAAATACTCATGCTCATCTCATGGTACTTCATGAGAAGATGAACAATCTTCTGCAAAGGATCTTTAGAAAAAATACCTGGAAATGTTAATATATATATATATATATATATATATATATATATATATATATATATATATATATATATATATATATATATATAAAGAATAAAACAGAAATGAAAATGTGGTATCAAATTTTGTTGATCTGAAAAGAATATTTTATCTTAAGGTGATTCGAAAATGACGAGAAAGTAATAGGAAAATTCAAAGATATGTAGCAACAAATAGAAACAAACTTTCTCTCAGCTGTATTTATTATAAAATCACTGATGTAGAAATTCATAATGTATTGCTTTTTAAGTGAAATTTAAAACAAGGAAGATTTTAATTTGTACATGTATTGGCAAAATTCCTTCGCCTAAAAGCTTTTAATATAGAGAAGGTTGCCGAATATTCATAAAGTATTATTTGATAACTTTAACTGTAATCTAATATATTCTTCGCCCTTGTTACATCATGAAACCCGCTTCTGATTTATACCTGTACAATTTATGTCCTTACATATGTAGAAGCTGCATAACGTTTTTA